ACAAACTTCTTACGTGTGTCTGGTTCAACCCAAACAGTAACTGCAGAAGGTTCTGGATCCCAGGCGAGCCCAAGGCTGCAAATCCAAACGACTGGCTGTGTAATGCAGCTGCAGAGAGGAACAGCCAGGAGTGCAATGTTAATCAGAGCTTCAGGAGGGCCTCAGACATCCCAGACTTGGTGTCACTCCCGCACCTCATCAAACAGGAAATTGCTTTTCCAGGGTCATCTGGGATCTCGGCACAAATCAGGGCGTCATCAGCATAATAATGGCAACTAAAATGATGCCTTTGCACGGTGGTGCCTGAGGGGCACTTCTGCACGCTGCGTTCTGTGAGCAAAATATTCAAGGTGAAACCAACAGCATTTTAGTTTCCTGATGAAAAGACCTAGGAACAGTAAAAATCAGGCACTTCCTTTCCCTGTGGTGAACAATATGCCGATGACACCTCTCATGCATAAGCATCCCTCTCCTCCACTCAGCCCCTATGCGAGTCGGAGGTTCGGGGAGGCTCCAGTGTGTGACAAAGCAAAAGCCATGCTTCTGTGCCTGCAATCCCCCAGCAAGAGGTGTCTGAACGCCGTTGCTTATGAAGATGCCTGCCAACAAGGTGATGGGCATGGGGGTTGACGGTTATGGCAGCGCAGAGTGTTTCCAAGGTGCAGGTGAGCCTAGCGGGTCCGTGGGCTGGAGGAGCACCCTGGGCAGCTCCTGTGGCCCCACCAGCCACCTGAGACCTCTGTGGCCACTTGTCCCTCCCTGAGCTGAGTCTCCTGCCTGACCCGTAGCAGGAAGGGTCCTGTTTCTCCATCCTGCAGTGGACCCCACTGTGCTCCCCAGTTATCTCCGTTTTGCCCGCTGAGCCAGTGAGTCCGTTAAGCCGCAGCTCTGTCTGCATCTTCATCTCTGACACAAACTGTGCCACCAGCGTGCCTTATTAGCAAGGCTGTCACATCAGCAAAGGTACGTTGCAGCGTGAGCTTGTCGGGGAAGGCACGGGGAACTAAAACCTGAGGAGGTATGCCTTGTACATTGGGCTGCTTGGAGCAACCTGTTAATTCCTTGCTTGTTTGCTGCTGATGTGACCAAAGAACAGGAGAAAGCTAGCGAGCGTGGTGCAGCGTGGCACAGTGGAGGCAGTGCTGGTCTGACGTGCCGGGGAGGAACACATGGTGGCTGCTGGCCACTGATTCATTTTCTTGAGTGCCTGATGTCCCCTCAGGCGCTGTGGCGGGATTTGAAGCATGTTTCCTAGATCCTTGCAGCTAAGCTAGAAATAATGCGTTTATAAGATCAGAGGCAGTTCACTGCTCGAGTTAAGTGCCTTGAAAAGGCTGAGTCACTTGTACAGGGAGGTGAGCTATCCGGGGATGTGGGTTCCCTTCTGAAAACACCTTTTGTTATCACTGTAAACGCTGCTGGTGCTCTGCCTACAATGAGGCTGCTGCTCTCTTGCTGGCCCTGAGCACACCCATCCTGCCATGGCCTCTGTGGGTTGGATTGTATGTTCCTTCCCTTAAAATAATTAACAGAAATCTGGGCACGCTTGAAAAGCATTAAGGGGGAGAAGGTGCTATCGAGATTTGGGAAATTAGGCCTGATCTGAGACTCATTAAAGCTGGTGGTAGTCTGTCTTCTGACTTCAGTGGATCACACTTACAGAGTATAGCATTTTATATCTCACCTTACTGAAATTTAAGCCCAGATAGTCAAAAACATATTTCTAGAGGTGCCGGTATCCCTGTTAGGTTAGGTCCTATGTAAAATCAGGGATTTAGCTTTACCTTTAGCTGTCAGAGGCTCATGGGTTAGGCAGCAGTGTGATAGTTACATTATAGTGGCTCCTTCAATAACTTCTGCAGGGGTTACGGGACCTGGTGCTGGGGAGGGTTCAGGTGGGGCTGGATGCCTGGTTCTCCTGCCTGTGCCTCAGTGGGTGTTACACACCCAGTCTGATATTGCCAGTGCACAACGTGGGGCAATTTTTTTAAAATGGAGCATAAATGTAAATGTGTCGGAAGCGTGAGGATCTACCTTCCCTTGCTGAGCTTCACTGCTCCTCCCTGACCCAGGGAAGCCCCTTAGTTCCTGCAGGTCTTGGATAAGGTCAACAGGTTCCACCAGTGGACAAATCCAGAAGTAATTACCCCAAATCTTAATGTGATGATTAATGATTTTCAGCACTCTAAGCTTGAGGTGATTTGAAGGGTCCTACATCCCTGCCCAGTGCTAGCCTGCCTAGCACTGTGCAGAAGTGCTGTGCCAGAAGTTTGGTATTTGCAGCCAGAGCTGTCTGGTTGTCTCTTCCCAGCAGGTAATAACATCACTAATTAGGTTCCTAATTTGTGCTGTCCAAATGTACCTGAATTTCTAGGAATTAAAGCCTGCATGAAACCCGATGCAGCGGTGAATGCAAGTGGAATTAGGACTGGATGTATTAAAAATGTTTTTGATATGTTATAAAAAACAAGCTGGGGTCAAGGGGTACCTCAGGTGGATCCTGTTGTGGGTGGTGGTGTGGGCACAGCGCCGCTTTGTTACTGTCCTGGTAGTAGATTTAGAAGTCACCAACTGTTCTCGATGATAAACGTGTCTTCAAGCCACAGCCCCGAGAGGAGCGGTGTTGGGGAAAATCAAACCAAAGATGATAGTTTAAATTAGATAGATGATGTTTAAATCACCTTGGATGTGAGACTCTCTTAGAACTTCATGCTGTGCAGCCATTGGGCACAATGGTGTATGTAGGAATGGTTTGACCTCGCAAAAGTCGTGAGCGTTGTGTGCGTATTGGGTCAGGTTTATGTTGGGGAATGGCTTTGTGATGGAAAGAATTTAAAATATCTTACATTGAACAGAACTGTGGTGTGGGAGTTGACAAAGGTTGACGGAAGAGGGGTGCCTTCTTGGTAAATCAAAAATACTGTAGGAAGGGGAGAAAACACAGATGGTGAATGTGAGCGTGTGATGTGTCATCACATACTGCCACATAATGTGACCCAAGAGACGGTGTGACAAAAGGAGTTTGGGGTAAGATGTCAGATGCTTTTCCTCGTGTGGGAGAGGGGCTGGGGGGAAGGTCAGGGAGAAGGTGGGCCAGCTTGGGGTTGACGCTGCCGGGTTGGCTCTGGTGCTGGCTCTTGGGCAGTGGAGTGTGTGAGGGGGGCAGATGGGTTTGCCTTAGGATCTGTGATGTAGGTCCATGCTTTTTGCCCAGGGGCTGAGTGTACTTTTGCAGCCTTCACCCTGCTCCCCGCATGGTGCTTCCCTCTCCGTTGCTCATTAAATATGCAGGGTTAAACACAGAGGGGTTCCTTTGCCAGCTCCCGAAACACAGAGACCTTTGATGTGAAATTGGGCAGCCTATTGCCATATTTTCCGTGGAAAGCCAAAAAAAGGATACTGAACTAAACTGAATTGTATTATGTAGCATTGGAGGTGCAGGACTTCCTCAGCCTGCCACCTGCTCCTGCATGCCATGCATGTCCCGCTGCCTTTGCCGGGAGTAGTCAACAGGAACAGGACAGGAGACAAAGTGCCTTGGGGAAAACTTTTAATACCATTACCTGACATCAGTTTTGGCACTTGGCTGGCTCATTAGGTGAGGAGCCGAGTGGCCTGCCATTAGCGGGAGCCGTTCCGTGCTGCTGGCCAGCCAGGCAAGAGGTGCTGTACTGCTCCTGGCAGAGGGACGGGGCTTTTCCCCAAATGCCTCCTCGGGTTTGGTCTGAGCCCTCTGGTTCATCTGCACTCAGTGGAAATTGTGCTTTTCCATTTGCAGCTGAGTAGCCGTGAACTGGTTGGGTTTCCTGGCAGCCATAGCCTCAGTTTTCCCAGAGCCATTGGTAGCTTTGCCAGGGATGGGTACCTCGTGTGCTGGCCCATCTGCTGATGAACCTGGTTCTTTGGGTCAATTCAGGCTGTGACTGTGTCTTAGAGCTTTTTTCTTTATTGTCTACCCAGTCCTTTAGTCTCTTGATTTCTGTAATCTGATATTTGAGGTATGAGTAAAGATGTTTAAGCCTTTTGTTACGATTGCAATACCATTGCAGCTCCTTCTCCTTTTGGGAATGGGCTGTGATCATCCAATCTAGGCTTGGTTTTGAACTGCTTGGCTATTCAGGATGAAGAACTAGCTCTGCACTCCTGCATCGACCTGAGATGAGGCAGATGGACTGATGCCCTGCCTGGGCTGGCTGGTGTGTTTTCAGTCTCTAGAGCTGTTTCATTGCGTGTATTTTGCATCTGAGAATAACAGCATCTCGGAGCCAGGTTGAGCTAGGGGGGAGAGGTTATTTTAAGCTGTCACGTCTGAGGAGCTTTGATGTCAGTTCTCCAGCTCTTTTTTTTTAATTACTAGTTTTAAGCATCATTAAATGAAAGGAAAAGAAATAATGGCTGAACAGCTATAACGGTGTGAAGCTATGGCCGTGGTACAGCCTGATGAACAGCAAGGGCACAGTTAAGCTGCGCTGTGGTCTCTGGGTAGAACAGGGCTGGATGCCAAGGGGATGTCTCCTCTAAATTGCCTTCCTGTGACCCAGGGATGCATAAACCATCTCATGCCTGGACTTCCCAAGTGGCTGGGGTGGTCCTTGAGGGCTGGGGGGGGAAGAGGATGTCTTCTCCAATGGGTCCTTGTTTTGTACATTAATAAGGATGTGAGGTTGGGTAAGATCAGAACCACCCAGAACCGTTCAAGATGGAGCAGGTAGAAACTACTGACCATGTATTCGTTCCTCCTTGTAGGTCCTCTTTGCATGACTGCTGAAATGCTGGTGAAGGATCAGCAATGAAAGAACAATCTTCACCTGGGGATAGTATTCTTTCCTGTTTCTGCTCAGCATGAAGTACCACCAGATGGTTCTTGGTTGCAGTTTAGAGCGTGACTAAAATTTGTTTTTCAGGCACTTAGGCAAATGGGATTTATTTAATTTCTCTGCTGGCTCTTCCCTTCCCCTCCAAGCTCTGTTCTGAATTTCCACGTTCCCTTTTCCCTGCAGAATGAAGTGGAGCTGGGAGAGCTACTGTTGTCACTAAACTACCTACCTAGCGCGGGAAGACTGAACGTGGACATCATTAGAGCAAAACAGCTTCTTCAGACAGACATGAGCCAAGGTTCAGGTAAAGGGCAGTGCATTTCTCACATTACTCATGCAGAGATTATATGTGCTTTTAAAGCAGATCAGTGGTGAGGCTGCAATTTGTGGGGGACCCAGGGAGGTTTGGATGCTCAGTTCCTATTAATACAAGGCTCCGGATATTCATTTTATATATATAGGCAACAATAACAAAAGTATTTGGTACACTTACCCTGAGATACAATGGAGGGTGCGAATACCTTTGCCATATTTAAAGTAAAAATCTCTGAACCAGGGTGAGGAACCAGGAGCTCTAAATAACCCCCGTGTAAGGCAACGCGTTTGTGGCTGCGCTGTATTTTGCAGATGCTGCATGCTGCCTGAGTGTTAATGTTGCAGTGGTGTCATTTACAATATCTAGCTGCTCTGTGGATGGTGTGAGGTTTTTCCAGTGTCCATGCATTGCTCCCTGCTGTTTCTGAGTGTCCTGGCTGGTAATTGCTTCATGTATATGTCCTCAGGTGTTTTTCCCATGTTCCCTGCCCCGGCCACTGCTGCTGCAAGAATATTGGCATTTTCCAAAAAGAACAGTATGGCCTCTATCAAGGCTGTCATTAATCGTGGTTTTGGCAGGGAGTGTTTTTAATCCAGCTGCCTGACTTTTGTCTCCACTTCAAATCGCTGGTAGCAGGGCGGTGGTACAAGTCCCAGTCATTTCCAAATGCTGTTTTCCAGCACGGTCCATCCCTGCGATGCCCAGCCTTCACAAACCGGGGTACTGATTCAAGACACCCATAACACAGAGCCTGTGTTTTGTGTTTTTTGTCAGATCCCTTTGTGAAAATTCAGCTTGTTCATGGATTAAAATTAACAAAAACCAAGAAGACCTCCTGCATGCGGGGGACGATAGATCCCTTCTACAATGAGTCCTTCAGCTTCAAGGTTCCACAGGAAGAACTGGAGAATGCCAGCCTAGTGTTCACAGGTAAATGTGGTGGTGTTACCGACTCGGCACGGTCGTGGTTGCCTCCGAGGTGAAAAAAGAAGCAGTTGCGGGTCTGCAGATGAGCCTGCACAGGATGGTGTCTATCCCAGTAGCCACCTTGCAAGGGGTGACCATTGCTGGATTCTCCAGGGAAGCTTAATTAGCACTCTGTCCTCTGCAGAAGCTGTTCCCAGCATTGCCACCTGATGGCTGGAGCTGCCTGGGAGCATACCTCATCGGTCCTGTGCTTAATTGGTGCCATTGGGAACACTTTTGTGCAGAGGAGGAGGCATTAATTGCACTTCTCAGCCACAACCAACTTGGGCATAAAGTCAAAAATTAGAAGAATGAGAGGGAAGTATTGAACGATCCCAGAGCCCAAACACTGGCAAAGATAACTTCTGGTGCTTGGCATAATTTGCCAGTGAGATGATGCAGCTGTAGGTGTTTGACACTGATATCACCTGTTCTGTGAGCAAGTTTGTTCGTGCCTTTATTTTTAAAGGGCTGGGTCTTGGTGCCAAGCTCTGCGTGGCACAGCTGAGATGGACCAAGGCACAGACCACGCAGGCTGTGGGCCCGGAGGAGTCCTAGAGCTAACCTCACTCGAGAGCTTTGTCAATGCTGGAGTTGTTCAGCTGGGATGGGAATTCTTATTTTTAAACAATTTCTGAATCTCCTATTTTTGTTCTCTAGGCATGAAAACAGTCAGTAGAAATCGGCAATTGGGCGTGTGGCTCAGAGCAGGAGTGGCAGAGCGCAGGGATGAGTCCCCAGCTGCGCTCTCGCCCGCAGGCTGGGCAGCAGCAGCAGGGCTGAGCTGAGGCCATGGACCCGCTGTGGCCGGTGGCCTTTTCTGCCGTTCTGCAGTGTGGAGGTCTTGGACAGGGCTGCAGGGACCCCTAGGAAGTGGTGGGTTTCCCTCCCGTGCCACGACTTCACCCAGCCTGCGTGTGCCGCGGAGCTCGGGCACCATCAGGCAGGGTCAGACCTTCCTGTCCTCCGGAGGAGCAGAGGGGCTGGGTAGTGGGACCCACGCTCTTCTGCCACGCTGGGCTCTCATGCTTCACAAACAAGGGTTTTGGCAACTTTCCACCCATTACTCACCATCTTTTGATGAAGAGAAAGGAATCTGCATCTGAAAGAACATCTTCTGAAGTAGTTTTAATTTTATTTCTTACATGGCAGATACAGGTGTCAAAGCTGTTACAAGGAGCCTAATTCCAATCCATTAGTTTGTTTCCAAACATGGTATAACAAAAGCGATGCTGATCAGCAATTTAAATTTTGCCCTTTATGCTCAGAAATTTCCTCAGCAAAAAGTCTGTCACCCTGACTGTACCTTGTATGTGCAATGATGAATTTGTTCTTGGAAACTTCCATCAGGTGATCTTGTGACAGGCATGAAACACTTTTGTTTTCCCCTTTTCCTAATAGAAGAAGAAAAGGCAAACAGGGTAGCAGCTGTGTGCAGTCAGAATGGTGAGGGGAGGATGCTGCTCCTTGCCATGGCTGATGAAGTTAGCATTAATGAGTGGATGTCTGATTATTTTTTTTCTGTGTAAATGGATATATTGTCAAATAAGTCTGATTTATAATCTTATGTAATGCAGTCAGATTTCAGTGGTGTGCCTTCTAAGTGGCGCTTCACTTTACAAGTGACGTGTTGCTTGCTTTGAACATTGCAATAAATAATCCCGGGCCAGAAATGTCACCAGCAGCTCCGAAGCTGGGAAGGAGCACGCAGAGCTTTTCAGAGGAGCAGTAGGGCCAGGTTCTCATGGCTGCTCTTGGACTGAAGTATGACGCATGGCTCGGGCACGGCGCTGCTGTAGGCATCATTGGGCTTCCTGCTTTTGCTGTGGTCGGGACTCTGTTGTTTGAGATATGTGGTTTGTGTAGCCAATATGTAGCTGGAGTCAGGGGTGTTGCTCACGTTATTGTGTGTACAGTCTTCTGCTGGTTCGGTGCCTGTATTGCCTCCCGTTGTTAGAGGAGCCAGGACTGTTAGAGGAGCCGAGAACCTTTGAATCAGGACTCCTGCGGGCATCTGTGGTGTCACAGGAGTGAGGTGGTTCAGGGGACATAGTGGTGGTGAAGATGCTGAGCCACGATCAGTGCTCACCTAAGTGTTGGAGATGCTCTGGATGTTGGTGGAAGCGTGTCCCCAACAGGGAGAGCGGCACCAGTTTCTTCATGTATGCGTCTATGAGGTTTTAATAAAATGAATATCAGCGTGCAGCTTGGCTGAAGTTCTGGGATGGGGATGGTGGTATTCCCCACATAGCTGCCTTCTTGGCATGTTAGGGTATTGCACAGCTTAAAAGCTTGTAAAGGGATTTGGGATCTTCTGTTAAAAGACAAAAAAGAGCGAATGGTTGCCAGCATGGAGAAGCTGTACCTCGCAACATGAGGATCTTTTTATTATTTTGCATCTCTACAAACCAGGAGCATAAGCCACACTTTTTTCTCTAGTTTTTTGTTTTTACTTGGATTTTTTTTTTTTGGCTGCAGTGGTGGTTCTTTCTATTGTGTGTTTTGTGGGAGTTGTTTTTTATTTCTTATTTTTTTTCAATCCACAGCTCTAGTCCATTAGGTCAGTTAATGAAATTTGCTGTTGAGTCAAAGTCCAATTGAAAAGGAAAATAATCCTGCTTGAAGGGTGGGTGACGATGCTTTGAATGGAGAGAGAGCTGTAAAAGCAGTCATGGGAGCCAGAAGTGAGTATATCTTCAATAATTTAAAGAACCCTTTTTTGTGGCTTCATATTTTGGACCCAGTCTGCAGCTGTCTTTACATTGGCTTGGCTTCACTGGAAAGCAGGGGAGCCATGCCAGTCCCTATCAGCTGAGGCTCCTGGCTCCCTCTGTGTGGCTGGTACCACCCTGCAAAGTAAGGCACTATCTAGACAAAGTAAGATTAATTTTTTTTCCCCCCTGTGTGTTTTTCTCCTCTGCATCTTGAATCAAACTGTCTGGGTTTAGTGCCCTGTAGTAAGAACTTATGCACTGTTTTGCTGTGACTTTAGCAAGGACTGTGTGCACAAACACTGTGGGTGGACGGTTTTCTGCAAAGCACCATTCTGCTCCCTGCTTTGCTGGTGGTGCTCTGGAGAGGTAGACTTTGGACCAAATGCCTGCATTTGGTTGAAGTGTATCTGGACTAGGAGACGGACAGCGGGTGTCTCCAAGATGGGGTGCACAGAGTGAGCTCTGCATTAGCCAAGATTTGTGTGTGTCGGGGTGGGCTGGTTCTTAGATCTTTCCTCCTCCTTAGGCATACTAGGATTCAACACTGTAAACTATTGGCATTTACAGACCAAAATGCTTCTCCTTTCACATTGGTGCAGGACACCTTGTACAAGCTGTCTTTCTGCAAATCTGTTCTTACCTCAGATGCTTACTGGAGCTGTTACTACTCGCATGTCCCAGTTTAGTGCCTAAAATGAGGTGGGATGAGCTCAGGTGGAGATGTCTTCTCCAGGAGGAGGCATCCAGGGTCGAGATTGCTGTTGCAAGTATCGTCTGTTCACAGCTTCTCACCAAACGAGGCTAAAACCAGGAAAGCAACTGATACTCATAACAAGTCTAATGTCCCGACAGAAAAAAGATGGTGAGTGAGGCAACAGCTAGTGGAGAAGATGTTTGATTTTCATTTACTCCATCAAATATGTTGTCTAGGTAATAAGCATCTGTATACATACTGTAACAGAAATGCACTTTTTTGAGTGGTTCTTTTTTCCACTTTCTGGGTTTTGGCAACTTGATGCACATCCCCCATGTGCCATCTTCTGCTCGAGTGCAAGCAAGTCATGGGTTCACCTCTTGCAGAGAAATGGTGCAGGCTTTAAAAGACAGCATGTTCTTCTAACCACCTGTGAAGAAAGGTGTTATTTATTCTTTGTCCCATGGTAAGGGGAAGGTGGTGTTTTGCCCCAGCAGCAGGGCTGTCAGCTGCTGCCTGAGGTCATTTCCAAGCAGAAAAAAGGATATTTGAGGTGCGACTGCAGCCTCTGCACTCGGGAGGGCTGGATGCTGGGTGCGTAGAGACACTGTGCTCTCCTTGCTGATGGATTTTGGGCAGGCTGTCCTCTAAATCCCAGCCTAATCTTCAGAAAGCCTGGGCTGTGCAGTGGGAGGTGAGATGACACCTGAAATCCAAGCACTGTGGTATTTTGTTAATGATTATAATGTTGTTAATAACAATCGTCGGTAATGCTGTTTGCGTTGCAGTAAAGCCCAGATGGCCCAATAAAAAACACCAGCGCTCCAGGGCAAACTGCATCTTGGTGACTCGTTAACATCTTTTGATCACTTACCATAAAAAATACAACCTTCAGCGCTCAGAGTTAGGGAATATATATCTCCCCGAGGTCCTGTGGTGACTGTATGTGTCTTTCTCCATCTAAATAAGCTTTTGTACATGTTTAGATGACAGGATCTTTAGGCCTTGTGAAGCAAGTAGGGTCTCCAAAGAGGGACCCTGGGTCCCTGTGCTCTGGGTACTGTCTGTGCAAATGCAGAGGGAAAACCTGCTTTGCCGTCTGACCTG